AAAGGATAAAACCGTCGCGCGAACACACGTAAATCGCGAAGGAAGGAGGGAGTGGGGACGACACTCGTGACACTCTCGTCGAATCGAAAGGATCGTAAAGGATCGTAATGTTTATAGATTACGGCACGTTGTGTAAAATATTAAGTACGTATGTTCGTTTTTCGTTGCGAAAAACATCGGGAAAAAAGAAAAAAGAGAAACGTATCGCGCAGTAAATTTCAAATCTGCCGAGATTGCGTAGTAAAAATATATTCTGGAATTTGTGGAATATGTTCGATATATTTGGAAGTTTTTTTTTTTTTATCGTCGTGCAAAAATTGTTAAAACTGTAGGAAAGTGTTTGAATTTCCGCATACGACTGTGGATTAATTTTAAAGTTTTAGATCGCGTGTAATTTTTTTTTAGGTTAGGCATTCTTTCAGGAAGAAAATTCTTTTGAAATATTTTTCGTATTGTACTGTACAATTGTTGCATAATTTTTCACAATCTTTAAAAATTCCGTGTTTTCGTAGAAAACATTTGAACAAATACTTCGAATAAATTCTTCCAATTATTTTTATTACAATTTTAAATATATAATTCTACGACAAATTCTTTGCACACTTTGATTTTCGATCGATTTCACTTGATCGATGTTCTCAACACAATTCTATTAAATATCCGTATTTAATCTCGAATCATTAAAATATCACGTTACTCATCTGTGCGATGACAGGATTTCGAAGCTCGATCTCGATTGATCGAACGGTGGACGCAGATGCGAATCTCGGTGCTTTACGGTCACACGGCTCGTTAAAGCTCGTCAACTGTTGCCTAAATTAGCCGAGTGCAGTGGAATTCACACGTGAAAATCGGTCAAAGCTGAAGCTCGGCCATCGAATGCATCAGGTAGAAATGGAATCAAAAGCGCGTCAGCAAGCGCGTCTGACTCGAATTGGATTAAAAAAAAAATCTTTTCAATACCTCGAAACAATCTGAAAAACGACCTTGAATCGATCGAACTTTAAATTGTGTCAAAACCGATATCTAGTAATAATTGATGATAATGATAATTTTAATAGTGGCTAGCATTTACAAAATATGTTAATTATCAAGTACAAAAATGAGACTCAACAGTGAATTGAAAATCAAGAGTGAATTTGATCGATAAATTTCGAAAAGTTGGCCAATATCTCGAAAAATTGATTTTTAAATTGATCGAAACTTAAGTAAATTGGCTGAAGATTATACACACTCTAAATACCTTTAATATCCTTATAAAAAATATTATCCATAAGATAAATTATCAATTTTTGAATTTGAATTAATCCAAGTATTAAGCATATTTCAAAGTATTTGGAAAACAATTCTTAGAGTATCTTTGTTGGAGTATTTATGAAAAGAAAAAATAAAAGTTTTCCAAAGTTCAACTATGTAATACAAACCAATATCGATATTATTTAGTATTAATAATGCTATTAATATCTGCTAGTATTTATTCGATCCTCGAAAATTATTTTGAGATATTTACCTACTTCTGAAAATTCAATTGTTCTCGCAAGCATATCGAAGCGTATTTCAAACAATTTAAAAACAATCCAACTCGTAAAGAGATCCAAGTTTTAAATTTCAATTTTAGCAGCGTGCACGTAATATATAATTCATAGGTATCGCGGGCAAGTAAGCGCACAGTTGAAACAGATTTAACCGCCAACGTCAGGTTTTGAATCGAAAATTCACTCTGCCAATCGACATAATTGCACTCGAAAACTTTTCCACCGGGTTTCCTTCTTTCCCGGGCCAGAAATCATTTCTGGCCACCAATTTTGACGGTGGAAATGAATTTTCGTCGAATTTTCTTGTTAATTGGTTTAACTTTCCAAAACTTGCACCTCGAGAGGGATGGTCCTCGACGGTCCTCCCGGATAAAGGAAGGATCTCTCAATTTTTCTATTTTCTTTCAAATTGGTTAGAAAAAAAAAAAATCGATCGATTCGATACTCGATGCTCGATGTATCTCGCTCGATTGGAAAGCGCGGTGAAATTGAGGAATCGTGGCACGGTGAGTGGAAGTAGGTCATGAAAATAAACCAAGAAGCAAAGATAAACCGTTGTTGCTGAATGTTGTTCAGGATCATCAAATTAATTGATGATCGAATATTATAACAATTGCTTGAAGTGGCAGAATGAAATAAAAAAAATAAGAAACATTTTGGTGATTATTAATTATATTTATAAATATATAACGTAAGAACGATTATCAAAAGCTCGACTATTTTAACTCTGGTGTTTTTATTTTAATTCAATTTGTTCGAAGAATGGAAATGAATAACGACGATCGAGTACTCGATTCTTTTTCTTTTTTTTTAAACTGGGAAAATTTATTCATATACTTGTACACTTTCCGATAGTTGTTCCATTTATCATCCCATTGAAAAAAATTACTTCGGTACAGCGGGTAAAGAAAAACACGGCGGTTGTTAAAGCGGGGGAAAATGGTGAAAAATTCGGCAAAAATTGTGCTCGTTTGTCAATGTTGTCCTCGTTCTCCTCTTATCGAGGGATTTATGAGCAACGATCGAGGATGTTGTCTTGAAAACTTTTGCTGGAAATAGGGGAGAAACGTTTTCAGATTGGCCTCAATAATTTCTTCGAACTTTGAAATTTTAATTGTTAAATTTTCATATTCATATACCTTCGTATCTCACATATATATCATTTTATATTATCGACAAAATTGAAATGTTTACATCGCATGATGAATCTCGAAAACGAATTTTAGAAATTGCATTCGATAAATAAATAAATATTCTTTGCAGAGTGAGAATAAGAATAAGATCATTCTTGTCATATTTTATCCATCTTTTATCTCTTCTTCTAAAGCAGTAAGAATTAAAATAACAAGACAAAGTAAAACATTTCTTACTTTTTTATCTATATATAGTATAAAATAAAAGATTAAAATATAGAAGTTAACGAGATTAGATCAGGGATTAGAAAATGCCAGTGTAATGTTGTCGAAATTTTTTTATACCATCGATATGTTTCAATCTGATCTAATTTAGATTAGTTATTTTTCGTATTTATCTTTTATTCGTATCCAAACTATACGTTTTCGAAATTGATAATCTTCAACCACGCTCAACTCGAACTTTCACAACAAAGATAACGAATTCGTGGCGGTGAAACTGGTTAACAGGTATCTAGAAGTTATTATAATAAAGCATTATCTGCCCACTCGAATACCTTCGAATATATCAATTCCATATCGAATTGGTCGATCGTCGTGGCTTTAAGTTAACGAAAACGTTAACTATTGTTCAAGCTTGCACAAGCTTCTCACCACACGTGACTATGATTCATTGTTGACCGTGTACGATCGAGTCAATCGACGTAGTTAATTAATTCTAAAAGATCTTCTTGTTTCATCTTCTTTGACACGAGAAAACTGTTAATTATTTATTTTTTTTTCTTTTCAGTTGAAAATTATTCGGTTGATCGAGTTTTTAATTTAATAT